GGTCCATTGTGGAATTAATTTTGATGTAGCATGTGAGATAGGGATCAACTTCATTTTCTTCCAGGTGTTTCCTCAGTTGCTCTAACATAGTTATTGAATAGACCCTTTCTCCCTACTAATTTGTAATGCCATCTTTACATACTAACTACATATCTGTATTGGAGTCTATTTTTGGACTTTTGGGTCAATTCCATTAATCAATCTGTCTAGTCATACACCAGCATCACACTGTTTTAATTATTATAACATTATAATGTGGTTTAACATTGGGCGTGGTCCTTCATTGTTTTCATTTTTTCAGAGTTGTTCCTACTTGTTTATTTTTCTACACGAACTTTAGGGACAATATGTCTGCTTCCAAAAAAATATGATTTTCTTATGAATTTAACATTAAATATATAGATTAAGGAATAATCTTTAGATGCTGTATCTCCCTATTCGAAAACATGCACATTTCCATTTATTTAAATCTTATTTTGTTTCCTCAGTAGCATCTTATGATTTTCTTTTTATAGATATTATGCATTTCTTATTAATTTATTCTTTTTCTTTCTTTTTTTTTTTTTTAATTTTTTTTCAACGTTTATTTTTGGGACAGAGAGAGACAGAGCATGAACAGGGGAGGGGCAGAGAGAGAGGGAGACACAGAATCGGAAACAGGCTCCAGGCTCTGAGCCATCAGCCCAGAGCCTGACGCGGGGCTCGAACTCACGGACCGCGAGATCGTGACCTGGCTGAAGTCGGACGCTTAACCGACTGCTCCACCCAGGCGCCCCTCTTTTTCTTTTTTTTAATGTTTAATTTTTGAGAGAGACAGAAAGAGAGAGACAGAGCATGAGTAGGAGAGGGGCAGAGAAAGGGAGACACCGAATCCAAAGCAGGCCCCAGGCTCTGGGCTGTTAGCACAGAGCCCGACATGGGGCTGGAACCCACAAACCACAAGATCCTGATGTAAGCCAAAGTCAGATGCTTAACCAACTGAGACACCCAGGTGCCCCCCCCCATTAATTTATTCTTCTATATTTCACTTTGAGTTGCAAAGGGAGTGTTCATTTTATCTTTTAACATGCCATTGTATCACCCTAGCATGATCTCAGAATATTAACATTTTCCCTATAAGCTTCATAAGTGCATTTATCGCTTGTGAAGCTGTTTAATTCATTTTCTTAAAATATTTAAATAAGCATATGATTGGCAAATAATAATATTTTTCCTTTCCAATTTTTAAGCTTATTATTGCTTCCTTTTTTCCAATTGCAAAGGCTTGAGTAGAAGTTCAAATTCAATTTATGACTCTAATTTTTTTTATTTTTTATTAAAAAAAAATTTTTTTTTAACGTTTATTTATTTTTGACACAGAGAGAGAGAGAGAGAGATCATGAACAGGGGAGGGTCAGAGAAAGAGGGAGACACAGAATCTGAAACAGGCTCCAGGCTCTGAGCTGTCAGCCCAGAGCCCGACGCGGGACTCGAACTCACGGACCTCGAGATCATGACCTGAGCCGAAGTCGGTCACTTAACCGACTGAGCCACCCAGGCGCCCCTATGACTCTAATTTAACTACAAAAATATTAAGATACTCTCCCAGTTTTGCTTCCTACACCCCATCCTCAATGCTAGTAAATTTACCTTGGCACAGCCTTCTTTTGAAGATCTTAACAATTCATAACAAATGTATGTTAACTAAAACTATTTTTTGATGGAAAACAAAGTGGTAAAGAAAGGTAAAAGTGGTGATAATTTAAAAACTATATTGAAAACCAATGAAATTTATAAATAATGAAAATATTTATAAGCCTTAGCTAACAATACCACCTTTTTAAATATGCTCACAGCAATAAAATTCAATGTAAAGAATAGCATTTCCCTGGAGTTTAGGTTAAAAAAAAAGTCCATTTGGAAAATTCCTCACCATAATCAAAATAAATGCTCACATTTTGATAGTGCTTTATAAATACGTTCAATTTTTTTCACTGGAATCAAATTTCAATTATTGAATATGGATGTTTTACATATAAGTAACCGGAAACTTTAAGATGACTAGGTAACTTTCTTAAATCAGTGAACTTTAGACAGAATGGTCAAATGTTTAAGCCCTCTCCATTTTTTGTTCTGTTTCATGTTTGATTTTCACAAGAAACAGACAAATACATGGATAAACGAAACCATCACATCAGAAGAACAGAACATGCAAAATAATGAACTAAATGAGATCAAAGAAGATAAAGTCAGTTTACTGAGATGAATAGTTTACCTATTTCAAATGTTGATCTCAAAACTAATTTCACAGCAAATTCTTTCCTTAAAAAAAAGAAAAGAAAGAAAGAAGCATGTCATGGCCAATAATTGCTGAAAAACTGTGGAGACTGGCACTTCCAAATGCTTGGCAGATTATTAAGCCAATTTTTATTGAGTCCACTCTAGTTGTTGGAGGGTCTGTGATTCCCAACTGTTTCACATCAGAGAATGAAAACAAGTAGGGCCCAGCCAAGACCACATTGGTGACTGCCAGCCCCTTTATATGCCAAACATGAAAGCAACAAGTCCAGATGCTTTGATCCTTGCATTTTTGGACTTAGCCCAAAGTTATAGAAAAAAGCACAACTCATGTTAGGACAACATACATTATAAGTAGAAATCAATCAATAGCACTGTGACCTTCAAACTCAGTAAATGTTTGGAGTTAGTTTCAGAGCATGTAATCTAAATTGGGGATTGGAAGTTGGACCTGGTCCTAAACTAACAAAAAAATGTATATTTTTTAAAAAATAGAGATTAAAGGAAGCAACAGATGAAGTTTTAATTCATATGTGTATGTGTGTGTGTGTGTGTGTGTGTGTGTGTATGTATATATACACATATATTCATTGAAGAATGGATTCTATTTTAAAAGGCCCTAACTGGTAAGGAGAAGAAAGCCACCACCACAATGAAAGCCTCTTTTCCTGAGTATAATTAAAAGAGAAACTACATTGTGGCAGGAAAATGTATTGGAAGGAAATTATGAGCTTTCTCCCAATTTAGGGTAAGAGAATAATGAGATAATTTAAGAGGTGAGTCACTTGGTTGCTAGGACACTGTCCTGACTTGCAGCAGAGCTCCAGCCTGCCAACTTATGAAACAATTGGCCCTGGTCTTGGCACGGTTGTGGGTCTAAATTCCCTAACACAGGTATAGTGAAGAAGTGGCAGTGGCAGAGCCAAGCTGAAGCGTTGATGGCCAATCTGAATCTGGGCACAAGGAAAACTGAAGCCTCAACCCTACTATTTTAAATCGCTGCCCGTGGCCAGGGTAGTTACTTGAAAAATCCTCTGGGATGGAAGAAATAACAGTGAAAAATAGCTTAGTGTAGCGGGACAAGGTTTGGCACCAAGAAATAATTAAAAGTAATTTTGCATCTTTTATTTTGTCTTAACTTTGCAATAATGATTTGATTGTATCGTCACACAAGTTCTGTCTAGACGACATTGTGTTAAAACCTCACCGTTTTGTATTGGTAAAGCTTTAGAATTGTTCCTGGCACCAAACGGGCTGTTTTAGCACAAAAGCTAATTTACAGTAATGCTGATAACGTTCAAGAACCTATCATTAGGATTTTTTTCTCTCTTTCCACTTTTTTAAGTACACTCTTTGTCAGAAAAGTAAATTAGTGGTGGTGATAATGCTTTGCAATCGCTACCAACATGTCAGAAAGGCAACGTACAGATAGTCTAACATTTTTCAAAACCTTCCAGGAACTGGAGAAGCCAGTTCCTGGAAGATGTGGTCTCAGCTTGCAAAAACAAGTTTTTTTTGTTTTTTTTTTCTTTTCGTGCAGTATGAACTTACTCAAATTTCCTCAAAGCATCTCTAAGAAAGCTGGGTCAGGGAAGATGATCATGCTGTATCAGTTAGACTATTTTTTCTGAATGTGTTCCGGATGTCTACAAGTGCGCCCATGCACAAGGCAGGGCCTGTTAGTGTATCCAAATAAGATGAGAGTAAGGTACAAGATCAGAATGTGGTCTGTTTGTAAATGTGCCCATTTACCCAAGTCTGTGAACAGTCTGATTGAAAACTTAGAAATATTGATATAACAGCATGGAAATCCATCTTTTGCACTGAGACTTTTAGTTGTTGCCGGTTATTTCCTACAATGATTAATGTTCATATCTTTATGTATGCAGTCAACAATTATGGCCATGTCTTTATATACGGATTCCATCCTCTCAGAGGAATTCTTCTTTTACTCTGAAGCAAATAGCAACTGGGTATATTTCTAAATAAGTATATGAATGATGAGTTGGAAAAAAAAAAACATACATCTATTCATTTATCCATTCATTCTTTGTAAAGCCCTTATAACTCATGAAAGACTTTGCTGGAGGCTGAAGGGGCTTTTAAAAAGTGGGAAAGTGTATGCGACAGTACAAAGGTCACTGGCTTTGGAGTAAGAATATTTACTTCCATGCTGGCTTCTTCATTTATCAAGGATATGACCTTGAAGAAATCACTTATTCTCTCTGTAGTTCAATTTCATCATTTTAAAAATTGAAAGAAGGCTACTATTTTGCCCTACTCTGGTCTTTGAGGATAAGAAAGACGGTATTAAATAGATGATAATCCTTTGTAAATTAGAGACATGAGGCCAACATAGGTATTATAAGGGGAGGATGTTTTTCCTACTCCAAAGGAGATTCCCATCTATTTCTGGAGGTGAGGTATTTTTACATAAAATGGTTTGACACTAATTAAAGGAGGTTTTTTGATTAACCACAATGAATAATAAAAAAAGTAACTGCTTTAATAGTTGATTTTCAAAGAACATTGAAAGACTGGGATAGTGAGCAGAGGCTTTGAGATTTGAAATTTGAGATAACCCCCAAAGGAAGGGTACAATTGCACCAGGTCAAAACAAACAAAAAAAGGAACAAACAACACCAAACAACACCAAACAACAACAACATATAGTTAGGAAACTCTGTGAACCACAAAATAAAAGAAGAAATGTATAACAAATATTCATTCAGTTGGTCATTTATTCACTTGAAAACATTTTAGTGTGAAGAGAACCGTTTGGCTGAAATTATTTTGGAGAAGTTTGGAGACAAAATGTACAGCTTCTGCTCCTTTCTGGTATGTACAAATAATTATAAAAGCTGGGGCAACTGTGTCATTGGAGATGGGACAAGTCAAAGATGTATATCTGAGAGGAGAGGATATAAGACAGGCTACCATGAAATCTCTGTTCCAATTTCTCTAGCCCTAGCTTGCCAAGTGGGGAAGTGACACTCAGGCCAAAATATAGTGATATATTTTTGGAACACCTCCTGGCTTAGTCCTGGTTTGGAATAACCATGGAGGGGTGTTTTGGACAGCGTATCTGGTCTACTTTGTGTTGGCACCTCTGCTGTTGTTCTGAAGCTAGGTGAGCCATTCTGTCTTGTCAGAATGCAGGCAACTCTGGACGTCAGGCAGAAGGCCAGGAACACCAAGAAAGTCCTGAAGGAGGGTCAAAGGTGGAGAAGGAAAAAAAATGAGAGCATTTACTTCCAATTCCAGCTGGAGTGTGTACAAAAAGTGCTGGTAATATATGCTCTAGATCTATAGTCCAACAAAGAGTCTGTATGAAGGACAGTGGGTTGCATCCAGTGACTAGGTTGACCAAGAACTTACCAGATGGGTTGATTGAAGTGACAACAAGTGACAGGGACAAAAAATAATGTAGGCAAAACAAAACAAAAAACAAACAAAAAGAAATGCAGCCTCAAAACGAAACCTATCTGGAGACCTGTAATGATCTGTTGCCTAAACTCTGCCATAGTATCTCCTCTTTTTCTTCTTCTTCCTTTCTCTGCCCCCCACTTTTTCTCTGGAAAAATTCTTTGTCTTCTCTTCTCCCTCACTTTCTTTTTTGACTTCTTTTTTTAGCAAACAATTCTATGACAAAATTTCAAATTCAGCACTGGATGTCAGAACCTCTTGCAAATTATTTTTACAAAACTTTTTAAATTAAACAAACTGAATATTTAAGAGTTTATATCAGGCATTTTAATAATCTGATAATGGTGAGCTATTGTAGATGAACCCTCACACAAAATAGTAAGAAAACCTGGGCAACACACAAATATATCTTTCTATCTTTCTCTACTTAGGTTGATAGATGATAGACTATATATATATTTTTTTTCTTTTTTTGAGAGAGAGGAGAGAGAGAGAGAGAGAGAGAGAGAGCATGGGAGAAGCAGAGAGAGGGAGAAAGACAACCCCAAGCAGACTTTACACTGTCAGCACAGAACCCGATGCAGGGCTCAATCCCACAAACTGCAAGATCATGACCTGAGCCCAAATCAAGAGTGGGACGCTCAACTGACTGCGCAACCCAAGTGCTCCTAGATAGTAGATACTTTTGTGTTTAAGAATTGGGTAACTATTAAGGTAGTAAGAATAACAAAATTCAAAATTATTTCCAGAAAAAAGAACTGCAGAGAGGTAAAAAGATGAGTCCAATGTCATGCATGATTTTCTCTCTTATACTGATCACAAGAAGAAGCTAAGAGATGGAGAGGCTGAATAGATATTCTGGAAAGATGGGTAGCAAAAATTAGAGGTTAGGAATTACCAACAAGGAGTCCTAGGAAAGACCTCTGGCTGTTAGGTCACCCCAGAGAGCCACACTTTAGGTATAAGGGTAAATTAGAATTAGATTGGCCATAGCATGACTACTCATTTAATAGGATTAAAATAACCTGTTCCTACTTTAACTGTCAACAAAATAATATGACCCAAAAATACGGGGGAAAAAAAAGACAAGAGGAACAAACTTCAAAAAAGTTCAGATATAGTAGTTATCAAACACAAACTAAAATAACCGTAATTAATATAGCCAAAAAATTTAACAATAAGAAGATTTTAGCATAGAATTTAAAGCCAAAAATAATTAATTATAAATTCCAGAAATGAAAAATACAATAATTACAATTAGAAACACTTTAAATGAAGTTGGTATCTAATGAGACACAACTGAGATGGGGACTAGTGAACTGGAAGACATATCAGAAAAAGAAAATTATATCCAGAGTAAGGGATGAAGAGAAAAAAGTATTAAAAAACAGAAACAGAAAATGACATAAAAGACATTTAAGACATGGTGGAGAACAGGGGAGAAGGGGGTCGAGGGAATTACCATAGCTGTATTTGGAGTCCTAGAAAGAAAGAAAAGAGAAAATTTTCTAAATCCTAACAAAAATGTCACTAAGTAGAGTCAAAAGTACTGTGAATTCCAAACAGAATAAATATGGAGAAAACAACACTTAGGCCCATCACAGTGAAACCTCAAAACAAAACAAAGAGAATACCTTAAAAGAATCCAGTGAAAAGAGACATACTCCCTACAAATTAGCAGCGATAACATTGATGGCCAATAATGAGGTCAAAGGAATGATATTTTCAAAGTGTAGTAACATTGTAACTATCAAAACTTGTGAAATTCAGCAGCTAAAGCTATAGTTCGAAGGAAATATATACCCTCAAATACATATGTTAGGCAAGAAGAAAGGTTGAAAAATTAATGTCTACATGTCATCTCAAAAAGATTTTTTAAAATCTTTTGGCAAAAGCCAAAGAAAGTAGAAGAAATCATAATATTATAGCAGGAATTAATGAAACAGAAAATAAACATGCAATGGAGAAATCAGCAAAGGCAAAAATTATTTTTAAAAATATTAATAGAGTTAATAACAATAAAGCAACACTGATCAGCCAGAGAGAGATGGCATTAATTATTAGTGTTAAAAATGAAAATGCAAATTGTATAATAATTAATAATAAGAATAAAAGAATATGTCAATAAAAGGGCAAATATCTAGAAAAGACTTGACATAATGGGGTTTAAAATACTAGTTTGGGATTAAAGTACCCTAAAAAATAGATTTTAGATCAATACTTTTTGTGTATATAAAAGAAATTTTGGGGCACCTTGGTGGCTGAGTCAGTTAAGCATCCAACTCTCAATTTCGGCTCAGGTCATGATCTCACCATTTGTGAGATTGAGCCCCACATCAGGCTCTGCACTGATATAGCATGGAGACTGCTTGGGATTCTTTCTCTCCCTCTCTTTCTCTGCCCCTCCCCCACTCACACTCTCTCTTTCTCTCTCAAAATAAACTTTAAAACAATTTTTTTTAATGAAAGAAATCTCTTTTAGGACTATTAAGAATGTCATTCTAGTCATGTCCTGCCCTTCATATTGACAAGAACAGGCTATTCAGACATCCTTGAACAGCTGTTACACAGAATTATCCCTTATGGTTTGTTACAAAATTATGTATGGGGAGTTTGTAGAGGGTGACATCATAAATTCATAGACTGCATGAACTTTGGGTTGGATGATGACATGGTGAGGCGAGAATAAAAAAGAGGAGAGTAGAGGATTCTACATCATCCCAACATTTCAAAGAGTGCTTAGCATATATGCCAGGTCTTTGCTGAAGTCCAGCAGCCCAAAGAGCCCCAAATTCCCTGCATGTGTTTTCAAAGAATGAAAATTTGGTGTACAAGATACTCCTTCCTGTCTCTTTGCAATCATTTTCTTAATCTTCTCCTGTTTCTCTACTTCTTCCCTCTCCATGTATGAAAGACTTTCCCAAGCTCTACCTTCACCCATATCTCCTCACATTAAACACAATGATTTCTCTGTATCCTTCCTACAGAGATAATCATTCTTCGTGGATGACTTTCCCAACTGTAAGTTTGGCTTTGTTGAACTCAAGACAAAAATCAAATCATGACACACTCTCCTCATTCCAGTGGCAAAGGTCTTCTGCCAAAACTTCAAACAATTCTGCCACTCAACTTCAAAATATCATTCAGGTTTTGCTAACATTGCCCCCGCTATCCCCACCTTGCCACCAAAAGGCCCCACTTTCTTGTCACAATGGCATCTGCACTGGTCTATGAACATGCTCTGTGTGCTTCAGTTCACTCTTGCACTCTCCTTTCCCAGAAATGGCCTGGAATTTTCCCTGGATTGACCTTTCACATTCTTACTCATTTTTCAAGGGCTAGTTCAAATTCCATCTTATCTGATAACCCTTCCTGTATCATTACCCTATTTTCTCCTTTCTTTACAGTCCCACAATATTTTCACCCTTGTTAGATGACTGCTCGCTCATACCATTTTAATGTTTTATAACTGAGTTATTTAAATTGCTTTTTCTACTAGAGTATAATGGTGGGGACCACTTTTTACTCACCATTGTTTTCCATCAACTCTTAGGCTGTAATTATATGATGTAAATAATAGAATCCTTTTAACTTTTAAGTTTTCACTCCAAACGTTGGCTCATTTTGCTCATGCACATCCCTGTGCCTGAACTGTCCCCCCAACCTGGAAAAAATCCTGCTTATTCTTTAATATCTAATTCTTGTATCATTTCCTTAATGAGTTGTCCTCATCATGACATAAAGTTAAGTTCATAATTCTATATGTAAAATATACTCTTTTATTAAAATGTCTAAGAAGTATTTCCCAAAAAGACGTGCTCTATTTGGCACTAGGTTTGTGATGTAAAAGTTAAATTGTTTGTATATATATTTAGTATCATCTTGAAGTACATTTTAAGGCACTTTTGACTACCTGTAATTTTTTGTATATTTAATTAATTTCTACTAAATGTGGCAACCAGACAGTGTGAGAAAAACACATAGTCTTATTAATATGAATGTTCCAGAATAGAGTTTGAGGGCAAAGTCAATTTCCTCAAAATTACAAGGTCAAGGGGAATGTATACAAGAACAGTGCCAGGAGCCTCAATCAATGGTTCAGCAAAATTGCTTTAGCTCAAGGTTAACTGTGTTTTGGGCAGAATTCTGAGGGGGTATCACACTTCTAATCCAATCCATGTGGCTACGCCATGGAAGCAGCACTCTACCAAAAAATTTAGAGTATATATGTATAGTTCTCAAGCAATAAAACCCGACTTATTTAACCAAAGGCAGTGTTCTTCCACTGCAACAAGTATTCCCCAACTCACTGAGCATTTTTTATCCAGGCATACATCCAACAGCATACATCCAACATACATCCAAACAGCTGGAAGTATATTTTCAACAACTGAACAGTGTGTGTTCTGTAGCAGGCACTTTTAGTATGATCTAGAATTTGTGCCATTGTACTATAGTTTTATCTTCTCCTGGGTCACATTTCTACATAGACAGTGCGTTGAGATATTTGACTTAGTTGGTAGCTAAAAACAAACAAACAAACAGCACTGTCCTTTTTATTAGAAATACATTTTAAAAGATAAGTTAGGTTGCTATATTTTATCTTGTACTATTTTCTACAAAAACTAATAAACCGTGTTCAAAACACTGTGACAGAGAGAATGGAAATACAAAGAAAAATGCCAGCTTTTGCCATAAGAGAAGTCACAGTTGAAATGGGAAGACAGAAAATGCCCATGAAACTATAAATAACTGTAGGAAAAACTGAAAACTAAATA